TACTACGAAAATATACTACGATTGTATTAGGGGTATTAGATTAGTATACAAAAGAAGCAATAACGTTTTCGATTCTGTATATTGCTTTCATTATTTCTATCATATGATACCTATTTAATTAAGAGTCCGTTTCACAAGTCCCAAAAAGTAGCAAAATAAGCGTTCGGCCTTTAACCTTTTATGTAAAACTGGCTAGGTATTTTTTACACAAATGAAGAAGGAAATTAAAGATAAAGGATTATACTATAGCCGTATTGTAGCACATTTTTAGACAACTTTTTATTTTTAAGATTTTGATAGCCAAATCAACAAAATATTCCTTATGTTGGGACTAAATTTTCTCGAAAATAAAGACATAATTTAAAATTCCATTACAATACGGAAATAGATTAAAGTTTTATGATTACAGTGATATATAATTTATATGGGTTTGTAACAAATTGCTGGCTATTTTATGACAAATGCTGACGCTCTGCAAACCTTAATCAAGACTTAATCAAAGCACGTGTGTTTGGAATTTTGGGCGTGGCTTAACACAACAGGATCGGGCTAAGCCTTAAGCTCCGCGCGCACTGAATAGGTATCGGCGAGAGCGAACGACACGTAATTTTCAGTTTACGTTGAAATAAATGTAAGCCCGCGCACCGCATTAGATCGGCGCGCTCGTTGCGCTCGGTGCGCTTCGAGCTATCGGCGGTACTCGCGCCATCAGGCGAAATCAGAGAATGCATGGGAGGGGGCGAATAGTCTACGCCGAGCGACTGTTTTTAGTGGAGCGGTTTTACATTAAACATGTCCGATGAATTATTAATCGAAAGTGTACGAAACCATATCATACTTAATATGCGGTTTTTTATAAAAATTTCTTACAAGCACGTAACCTATATTGTTTACTACACTTATTCAATAATTGACTTAGAAAACCCTCCGATTAAACCCATTTATTTCTCATCTCGTTTTGATTATCTCACATTATTTTGAAAATCGAATTTAAATATCGTCAAAAAACTTATATTATTTAATTTTTGGTTTGTTTTGACGTTAGTAATAACAGCTGATAAATAGTCATCCTACTGTTTGACCAGCGGATCTGAAGCTACGGAAGGAATGCGAGAAAAAATCTATAATATACAATACAATTTTATCAATAACAATGTGTTTAATATATAATTTTTTCTTACCACAAACGTAGAAAATTATTTATACGTATATTATAGATTCTGAAGAAGACCGAATTAAAATTGGTCGAAACGTCAATCATTAAACAAAATGTAAACACAAGTTTCATTTTATTTACTACTGACTTAGAACAAAGATTTTAAAAACTTAAAATAAAAGCTATATATAAATGTTTGTAATGACACTTATTTATATTAAAAAACTAAAAATAGAAGTTTTATTTGACTATTTTTCATATCTAGCTTTGTTTTTAAAGAACAAATTAAACCCTTTTGAGTTATACCAAATTTGTTAAAATCGGTCAAGCTAAGAGTCATGTAGTATATTTTATCCCCATCTTCCACTCTATTTCACTAATTTTATGTGGTTTGTTAAGATCTAAATATATTAATTGTGTTTGGTTAAGATCTAAATAATATCAATTTCCATCATAACGCATAAAATATAAAAAGTTGCATAAAAATATAAATAGTAATAATACTTTATAATTTTTTGAAATGCCGAATGAATTTGACTAAATTTGAATAAACTTCTCCTCATCTATGCTCAAATTTATGCTCGTGACGTAGGTACTCTCGACCGTCGATCGTGCGACTCCAGTGCGCGGCTACAATCGACTTTCCGACCGGTCGTTCCGCTCGCGCCTCTCGCACCGCTCGCTCTCGCCGATACCTATTCAGTGCGCGCGGAGCTTTAGGAAGATTTCTGAAATATAATATACATATAGTTCCTTCGGCCACACATCCGTTTACCCGACCCCTGAGAGCGACCCGAAAGTACAGCGTAATAGACTCCTAAAATTAATATGATTAAAAATATAAAATAGTAAAATTTTAGTTTTTCTGAAATGAGTCTCTATTTCTTCACAATAACTTAAATAGGGTTGAACAAAATATGTAACCCAATATTAAAATAAAATTTTACTATTTTTTGAACAGAAAAATTGACTCTAAATCAAATAATAATTAAATCCATTTAAGTAGTTTAATATTTGCTTACCGACGATATTATTTTATCACTTGAATGCATAATTTCCATCCCTATTTTATGAAATTGCCACTCTAATACTAGTTATTAAATAATCTATAAAATATTCAAAGGTCTACCTACCATACACTACATAATATCGTAATTGTCAATTTAAATTAATTTGGATTTGCACAATATTATTAATAGAGTATGCCGTTAAAAATTAATGCACAGGATCGAATATAATATATTACTGAAAAATAAAACACATGCTACATGCAAATAATTACATATGGTTAATTTTGGGGATAATCTATTCAATAAATATTAAACGAATAATTATTGGAGGTAGATTTAATATGACTTTCTTTTTATCACATAAATAATAAAATAAAACCGACTGCGGAATGTTTAGCATGATAGAGACTTTGACAAACATATTGCTAAAAGCCATTGATAAAAGAAAATAATCTACTATTGCGAAAAGCAAATTTTAATCTACAGGGTGGTCCGAATTTTATTCCGGAAACTTCGGCGGCATATTCTGCAGATACAAATTTTGTCAGCGATGCGATATGGCTATGAACTGCCAGGTTACAGATTATTTTGCTAAGGTTACAGATTGCTAAGGTTACAGATTATTTTTCTCGAGAAGGAGATGCTGATAGAACACCCTTGGTTCGTGGATGCAGTATATGAAGTAAATACAATGCAAAGGTGTAATATTCCTATGTAAAATACAAATTTATAGCGTTCTAAAATAATACAGCGAGTTGCTTATGCTTTAAAAAAGAAATTTCAACAGTCCAAAGGATTGAAATAAAAGGGATCGCAACTGATGAAGAGTTCAAGAAAAAAATGAATAAATGCAGAAAAAACGGAACTAGCTCAATCAATAATATAGGAACCAGGCGGATGAAACTGGCATTTGAATTTTGGAAACACGGCGGAGTTTCTGCCAGTAGAGGGATAGATGGCGCTGCGTAGAAATTTCATCTAAAGTCCCTAGATATATATCTAGGGACTTTAATTTCATCATGATTTTATCAAGTCATCCACAGAGTATAGTTTAATTAACGAATTCGTTTGATTCTTTGTGGAGTAATTGGAGTAGTTGGAGTAGTTGAAAAATAGGAATATTTATATAAAATGTTGATAATTTAACAGTGATGTGCTTTGTTACCTTATCAACAAATATTGGTATGAAGTTGCTTTCGCCAGAAACAATTATAATTAAATAATTTAAAAAAATTTAATTTCTAAGTGACCCGGATCAGTTAGATTAATAAAATAAATTGAAAAGTAAACGTCATTCCATATTTGGCCAGTCTGTCAGTTTCTAAAGTGAAAGTGAATTGTGATTTGTTTTTATGGGAATATTTTACGGATTTTCGCGAATTTAGAGTATTTTAGACGATAGGATTGTGAAATTTAAAAGCCAAGTAGTTCAATATATAAGATTAATTAATCCCTGTGATAATTTTTATGAAATTTCTCATAATCAAAACAAATTCTTTCAACAAAATGGCTGTCTCTGAAATTTAGAATATCAATTTAAAGTTTTATTTAAATGAGGATCGAATCAAGAACTTGTATAACATTTCATATTAAAAGCTTAATTTTTAAGGTTGTGCAGTAATTTTAAGGGAAGGGTACGGTTTTAGATAAATATGAAATATACAAATTTGCAAAGACAAACAAGTAATTTTAAAAAGATTATTTATTTATTTAAACGAGTATAATCATTAATCATTTAGTTTGAAAATATATTTTTATTTACTTATTTATAGATTTTCTATACACTTGTATTATTGATAAGCTTTATATGTCCTGTTTTGTTTGTAAAAAAATGTTTCGGGTCATCGAGAATAGATTTACTAACAAATTTGTCCCTTTACTTTCTGTATTATACTACGCGAATTGTAAGATGTTTCTATTTGAATAGGTCATTAAAGTTGAGATTAAAGTTATACCAAATTAGATACACGTTAACTAATATGCCTTTTATATAATGTTTTATTTATTTATAATTTATAACCTTTTTTTATAATTATTTATAACTGATCGTATAAATTCTGATAACTTTTATATATACTTGTATAGTATTGAATGTGTTATATGTATTTTTATTAACAAATGTTATAATAAAATAATCAAGTTACAAATTTTTCGTGTTTTATTCTAATTTCAGGGATAATTTCAATCTAGATTTTTAATTTATTTGTATCAAAATACATTATTTTTATTTTGTAAATGTTTTGTTACAAATAAATTAATAATCAAGATTGAAATTACCGAATATAAGTAAAAAACTTATGAACTGGCAGTAAAGGTCCATTTAAAAATATGGCGCGAACCTTTAGTTCTGCCAGTAGCCCGCTTGGATCGCGGCGAGCGCGTGTTTCCAAGCTTTAACATAGGACTTTTCATTTCTTTCAGTTAGTTATTCTATGATAGGAACGTTCTTAAAATTTTTCTAAACTAAATGAACTGATCTCAGACATACCCTATATTTGACAAATAATAATGATGACGTAACGGTGAACGATGGATGAACAGTCTTTACTTATTTTTATGATTTCTATTTTGATAGCAAAATACCTAGTTTTTTCACTATTTATGCAGACATTAGCTCAATAACTAGATATGGTTCTAAAATGAGTAAAATAGGTAAGCACATAAAAAAAACATGCATTTAAAACTAACACCAAGACAGAGAGAAAGTAAGGAAACAGATGATTATGTGACTTAAGACATTACTCAGATGAAAGACAATAATGAGCACAGGAAGACATAGAGATGTGAAGCTGATGATACGTTTAGCACATCGAAATGATGTCTTTTTTACTTACAAACGAAATAAGTTAAAAACAGGAATGAATAAGTTGTCAGGAATAATTTTCAGTTTGTTTCCATTCAGCCGTCTAGAAAAAGAAATATCTGTAAAACATGGAGATAAAAAGTTCCGTTTTAACAGTGAGGTAGACATAGACAAAGACATATACGGTTACGTGTGGGATATATTTTAAACTAATTGAAAATTGGCGAGTTTAGGAATGCTTTGGTGTCTGTTTAAATCATGCGTAAGGTAAAAAAGTAAATGTTAGGGGTATTCATGTCAACAATACTGTGGTTTATACGTTTATTATACAGGTAAACACAAAGAAAAAAATATGTTCTGAATTTTTATTCTGAAGTATAACTAAAACAAATTACAGTTGTCAAATATAAAACGTAAATTATTTGATGCTAGTACTGTATGATCGAAAAAAACGGGGTCCAGTTGGCTTGGAAATGAACATCGATGACATTTCCCATATAATTTTACATGTAAAATGATAACGATCTTCAGTTCATAACCATCGCTGACGCTGTTGGTAGATCACACGGTACTTTAGTAGCAAAATAAACTAATACCAATAGCGAGGTCAATCTGAACGTTATTTACTAAAAATTTGTGAAAAATTAACACTAGTTATTGAAAATTAAAAAAAGATAAAACGATTCCAGACGCAAAAAACTATTTTCAAAAAATTTAAATTTTTATCGTATTTTAAACTCCATCATTTAAAAATCATTTTCAATCAATATAAAATTAAATTCCAACCCTCTTAACTCAAACTAGCAGTTATCATCATCATCAATTTCAGCTTATTCAACCATTTCCAATTATGGTGTAGCCTTCACATACTCTCTTTGCAGTTGGACCCATTGTTTTCTATTGTTGGCTATGTGGGCCCAAGTTATCCCTGCTAATTTCCTAATATCATCCCAATCCCATCTCAGGTTCGGTCTTCTTCTAGGTCTCTTAATTCCTCGCTGGTACCATGCTGTATTTGTTGTGGCTCACTCCGTTGCCAGGTGTCCTGTCCATTATCATTTGAAGGATTTGACTCTGTGGATCAAATCTATTACCTGGGTCTTTTGTCATATCCACTCTATTCTTTTACGGTCTTTCTTGGTTATTCCCAACATATTTCATTCCTTTGAGCGTTGTGCGACCTGCAGTTTCCTTTTGATGTCCGTTTTAAGTGTCCAGGTTTCGCATGCATAGGTCATGGCAGTACATATTGGTTGAATATTTTCTTCTTTAGATAAAGTCGCATTCTAGTTTTGAATATTATTGAGTTTCTTCCATAAGTACTCCATGCTAACTTAATTCTTCTGTTAGTTTCTGGTAGTAGAGATCCCGGGGTGTATATTAGTTGTCTCAAATATATATATTCTTCTACTATTTTCAGTGTTGTGTTATTTATTAGAATGTTTTTTCTTTCTATTAGTTCGTTCTACATTACTTTGTTGGTCCAGTGCAGTTGACGGAAGATTTCTTTTAATATTGTTGTAAACATCTTTGGGGATATTGCTTCTCAAAGTCAAAGGCTATGGCTAGTGGAAGTATTCTATTGTTAGGTTGATAGTTTCTCTTAGTGTAATATATGTGATCAATCGTGCTGAAGCCGCTTCTAAAGCCTGCTTGTTCTCGTGGTTTGGTAACGTCTAGCGTGTTTTGTATTCTGTTGTTTATTATTTTTGTAAATATCGGTCTATAGTTTCTGATGTCCTCTTTGTTGCCTTTCTTATGAATTAGAATGATGTTGGCGTTATTCCAGTCTTGTGGTATATGTTTCCTCCATGGACAGCTGCTGTAGATATTTGCTAGTTAGTAGATTCCAAGTTCTCCTACCAGCGTAGGTACTTAAGTACTTATTCTCCAGCTCTCAGCTCATATTCCGTCGTTCCCTGCTGCTTTTCCATTTTTCATATCTTGAAGCGCTTTCTCTATTTCTCCCAAGAAAACTTCTGGGGCGTCGTCTTATGGTAGTGGCAGTCCTTCTTCTTCATGTATGTTTTCTGGGGCTTTATATAGGGTCACTGTAGAACTTTGTTACCAGGCTTCTTATTTCGTTTTTGTCTGTTATTCTGATGTTGTCGTGTTTTAATGCCATTACCTGCTTTTTTTCGATCATGAGGGAATTCTTAGCATTCTTAAAGCTTTTTCTGTTTTCGAGCAGTAAGTGCCACTAAAAAATAAAAAAGCGTATGGGCCAAGTAAATGACGTTCAGGGCTTGACCTCGCCAAAATTTTCATTGATTGTTATTCTTCAGCCGTCTTTGACGCCGTTTGTTTTTCATACGGTATTATAACTAACGTGAATGTCTACAGGGTGGTCCGAACTGTGTTCCAGAAACTTCGGCAACATATTCTGCAGACAAAAATAAGTTGCTTAGTTTTGAAGATACAGGGTGTAGAAGTTTCATTTTTATTTCGATTTTTTTCAAATAATTTATGAGGTAACGTCAATATTTGGATGAAAATTGGTGTCTGGAAGTTTTTTGACATGAGAAATTTGGATTTTGATGTCATTATGACTCTTATTTGTAGGGGGCGCCACTTACATGTGTTTCAACTATTCTGAAGAGTAATAACTTTTCGTCTGTGCCTGTATAAAACTACTGAGTGAAAAAATATACATTTCAGTGATTTTCTTACGTAAAAAATGTCTCTTGGTAAAAATCTCTACGAGCAACCGTTCTAAAAATATTTAGAATGGAAATAGTCAATACATGTCATTATTGACAAAAAATAAACATGTTGAGTAGATAGTTATTTGACTGAAATAATAAATTTGGGAACTTTATATTTTTCTTCGAAAAAATGATGATAAAGCAGTCTCTGTGGACTTTTGGCACAAAGACATTTCAAATTTATGATACCAGTCTAATAACTATTTAGTCAATACGTTTAATTTATGTCAATGATGAAAGGAATTGATAATTTCGATTCTAAATATCTTGAGAACCATTACTCATAGCTATACTTTTTTTACGTAAAAAACGTGGTAAATTTATATTTTTTTACTCGGTAGTTTTATACAGGTACGGACGAAAACTTATTACACTTCAACCCAGTTAAAAATTATGTAGGTGGCGCCCTCTACAACTAGGAGTCATATTGACATAAAAATCAAATTTCTCATGTCAAAAAACTCCCAGACACCAATTTTCATCCAAATATTGATATTACTTCAGGCATTATTTGGAAAAAATCGAAATAAAAATGAAACTTTTACACCCTGTATCTCCGAAACTAAGCATTTTAGGACATACATTTATACGAACTTTTTTACTTATTTTTATCTGCAGAATATGCTGCCGAAGTTTCCGGAATACAGTTCGGACCACCCTCTATAACGCCGTTAATATAGAATACGACAAATTCTTACTTCTTATCCGAACCATTCGAAAATTATTCGTACAATTTATTCTGTAACGCCCCTTAATCGCATCACAATATCCTTATACGACCGGCCAGGAACTGGTTCTTCCTCTTTCTCGATATTTTATCGAAGGCCGGTACCGGGAACAATCGCGATCTTTAAACAAGTCATCAACGTCCCCTCGAAAGAGAGGAAAAAATCTCGCACAAAAGCCTTCCCGGCACCCACGCTCCTTTTTGTATACAGCCAGATAAAATAAGAGTTGGCCATTCCCATTGTTGTAGCGTCGGGGCAAAAGAAAGCACACTTTGAAATGTCACAAACGTCACTGGAATTCCTTTTAAAGGTGGTCGTCCACGTCGAGTGTTGTTAGAAGTTGGACGGATCGAGATAGAAGTGGTCGTATAGATGTTTCGAGATCAATTGAGTAATCTGACGTGTAAACTGTACCTAATACTCGATTCTACATTAAATGTATGAGACATGAAGAAGGACACAAATGTATAGATATAAAAGCTTTTCTAGATGTTATCAATACAAGTAAAATTATGTATATTTGGAAATATTTGTCCGATTGTCCTATATAGGGTGAGTTTTAAATAAGTGCAAATATTTTTAGGGGTAGTATATTTCGACCTCAGAAACATATCTATGAGGTTTTTTTCTCGATTTTTTTTATAATTTGGAATTTTTTTAAAAGATATTTTGAAATTTTAGTTAAAAACATAATATATTCATAATATGGCAACATAGGTAGTTTTTTTCGAAATATTTAGTAAACCTTAAAATTTTTCAAGAATCCGAAAGACGCATTTATTTCGCAAAACTGCACTTCTTTCCAATTTGACCAATTCTCTAGCTCCAGTAGTTTCCAAGATATCCGTAGAGAACATCGTAGAAAACTCACCCTGTATAAGATGACAGCAATTTTCATTCATAAATAAAGGAAACAAATTAGATTGGAATGCTCGGCTTGTCGCCAAAACTTATAATTGTTTTGGAGAGCATACGTTGTAGGGCGCTGCTATAGCAGTTGCTAAGAACAACCGCAAACAAGAACAGAAATAATTTTCTCTTGTCAAAGTTCAAAAATTATAAAATCTTTCAAAATTTAAACCGCCCTCATTGAAAAAATCCCGAAAAGTGTTTAAAGCGTCCATTTTCAAAGTTACTTACTCAAACCCGTGATAATTGTGAAAAAGTGGTATTAAAAACTTAAAAAGCTGTTTGAACTGTGAACTTCAAAAACCATCATGGATCGTGGCATAACATCGATTTCCAATGTTTCATAGGTATTTCATACATGTTCTTATATAAAATAAAGTTTCTTATAGGCAACACACTGTATTTTATTTAAAAAATTATAAGGAAATAATATTAAATTTGAATAAATAACATTTGGCGACAGAATCCCGGAAAAAGCCGAACAGCTCCGAAATTATCAAAAGCTTAAATAAGAGTTGGAAAGCGATCGTTGCGTAAGAATAGCGCTAAATAGTATTTACATTATCCTTATGGACACTGTCCAATCTAAACTTGTTTTTTTTATCTATGTCTTCATTTCTATGTCAACGCTGATACAACTAAGTAGTTTTAATGTGCCAATATCAATTATGGAAACCTTTAGAAATTTATTTCAGAAAGCATGTTTAAATATTAACAAAAGAGAGTATAATATTTGCCAACCTGTATAATAAACATATCTGCCTTGAAAGTGCATGAAATTAAGGTAGGTACTATTGTTTTCCTAAACACAACATTTATTTTTATTTCTTATATATTTCGTAAACACATTAAGAAAAGATATCGTCGGTTATATCTGATATGAATTATTTAACACCAAGTCGATTGCAGCACAACAATGGTTTCATCATCTGATCTAGAAGATGTTGTTTTATACTATTTAGAAAACAAATAACAATCTTATTTGCATTGAAAATTCAACTAAAGATTGAATTAAAATAGCAAATCAAAACGATAAAAATCAAAACGAATAAGAATCAAAACGTTTAAGATTATGTTGAATGAAACGTATGTTTTGATTTCAAAACGTTAACACCCGAACGTAGTATAAAGTAGTATATAAAATAGAATGAAGATATAATAGTTACTTCTATTTTTAATAAATATGACTTGGATTTAACTCTAAAAATATGAACTTAAAATATGTTTCTTAGTGATATTCTTTACTTACAATCTCTCTAAACTTGTAAGGTCCTCAAAAGAGTCCTTTTCTATTTTACTTATTTGGTTTTCTGAAAGCTGCCTACAAAAAACAAAACAAACATAGTAAAACAAAGTAAAATTCTTACAAAAAATACTTTGGCAAGAATAAAACAAACTTTTATACTGAAAATTTTGCTCACAAAATACTTCATGCCAATTAAAAAATACGAAGACCAAAAAACTAGTAAAAGTTCATGCCAATAAAGTCAATATATTTTTTTTTCTAAAATTGCTAATAAGTTTAGTAGAAAAATACTTACAGAATTTTCAATTTTGATAGATCTTGAAAATCGGATTCGTAGACTGCTGTGATGTTGTTTCCTTGAAGATCTCTGGAAAAGAATAAATGTTTCAGAAATACTGTTAAAGGCAAATAGAGGACTTTATACTTTATAGAATACACACCGGAAAAATCTAGGGATATCATTTTATTAAAGTTAAAAATAAATGTTTTAAATAAACAACCACATATTTGTAGGCCGATTCTTTCTACTTCGATTGAAACGAATTAGTCACACTAGTTATTTCTAAATTTGGGATATTTGCAGAAGTGTTTGTGCATTTTTTTGTCAAATGTATAAAAAGCATCAGTTGTTCGAATTTAACCTGTACTGGCTATGTTTTTATGATAACTAGCCATAATTCATTCAAATAACTTTGTTTAGTATTAAACAACGTTAGGGAGCGTAGACATCTTAACAGAGACGAAATGCCAAGGGCCATGGGTATGCTCGAAGCTGGAATGCACCAAATCGACGTAGCTAGAGCATTAAATACAACGCAAAGTGTAATATCGCGATTAAGTGCACGCTACCGTGAAAGTGGTGATGTTGCTGAAAGGCATACAGGGCGACATCGCATTACTACCCCTCAGCAAGATCATTTTTTACAGCTAAATGCTCGACGCCGACCGATTTTTACAGCACCAGAGCTTAGTTTAATTCTCCAGGAAACACATAATGTAACCGTTAGTCCTGACACTGTCCGCAATAGATTAAGAGAGGTCAATTTAAGAAGCAGACGCCCTTGGAGAGCTCAACCCTTAACAAGAGGAAATCGAGAGGTACGATATTTGTGGGCTCAAGATCATGTTCAGTGGTCGAATGAACCATGGGCCAACGTTCTCTTCACGGATGAGTCACGTTTTGGAATTCATCCGGATTCGAGAAGGCTTAGGGTATGGAGGGAACCAGAAAATCTTATTCGGTTGGATCATGTTCAGGAAGTGCACCCTTCTCAAGGTGGAACAGTTATGGTCTGGGGAGAAGTCCAGTTAGGCCGAAAAACCGATCTCGTTTTTCTTGAAAGGTTTCTAACAGGAATTACATACCGTGATTTAATTCTTGGGCCTGTCGTGTTACCATATGCCAATGATTTTGGGAGAAACTTCATTCTCATGCATGACAATGCACGGCCTCATACAGCCAGCGTGGTAAGTGAGTTTATCAATGCTCATCAATTAAACATCTTATCCTGGCCGGCACAATCTCCTGATCTCAACCCCATCAAGCACGTATGGGACGCGGTCCAAAGAAGAATTTTGAGAATGGGTATGCCTCGTGAAACTCGTAGGTATCTGGTTCGGACCATGAATGCAGCGTGGTAGGCTGTACCTCAAGAAGAGATCGACAACCTGATCATGAGCATGGAGAGACGATGTAGGGCTGTAATGAACATTAGAGGAGGCTATATCCTTTATTAAGTGAAAATGGTTTTATCTTTTTTTTTTTAATTCACAGTTAGAATAAAAAAAATTGTGTATTTTTCTGAGTTCAATAAAAATCGAGGTAAATTTGAAAAATTCGGTAAATTTCGCATTTTTATTTCCGATACGTCCTCTAAACTATTTGTTTATTTTAATTTTATTATATCAGAAATGCAAAAAATAAAATTACTGACGATGGCTGGATAAAATTGTAATATCCCTAGACTTTTCGGGTGTGTTTACTATATCACAGTGATTTTGTGGAATTTAATAAATAAGATCGTCCTTGTATTTGGACATTTATTTTTTGATGTCATATCTTCACGCATTTCAACATATTTTGTTCTATTGGGCCAATTTTGATACAATTTTAAACAATTTTTGGTTAAATTATTAGACTTTTTAGCCTCTATCTGTTTGGTGTTACTGAGTATTATATTATTTATTAAAAAAGGCTACTTTGTCTATATATTACTGTGCTCAACCTTAATGTGACCAACATAAAAGCAGAATGTTCCTTTTACAGTTAGCGTCAATTTCTGGTAATAACTAATTCAGTCCATTTGGGACACGAAAATTGAGGCTTAAAAGCCAGAGGAGTTTTCGAACGGCTATGTAAAAATAATGACAATAACACCAAATTTTAAAAGAAAACTGTTTAAATGATTTTTTAGAAGAACATTTAGTGTGTAAGATATTTTTTATATATATGCCCATATATGCCAAGTGTAATCCAAAAGTCGCGTGAAGCGGGTGACAGGTTCAAACACGAATCTGTTTTTGAATTCGCTGATATATCGTATTTTTATAGCAAAAAGTAACTATTTTTCATCAGATTTATGTTATTATCATGTTGATCTATCTAACAGCGCTTTCAGATGGAGCGGAGCGTCCGCGCGGACCGTCCGCGAGTTCGAGGCAAGTACATTAAGTTTATATGAACGATTTCACATGGGTTGAAAAAACACGACGCTCCGTCTGAAAGCGCTGTAAGTGACAATATTGAGTGTTCATTTGTCAGCTTGTATAGGAGTGAAGTTTGTAGAATACAAATTTAAGGTTAGTTTTATTGTGTTATTATTACTACAATTGCTATAAACCGTCTCTTTTACTAAAAGAGGGTGTGGGTTGGGACGGTTGAAACAGTAAATAGTAGTAGTTGTTTTTGTTTATGTTTGATTGCTAGAATGTTCCCTTTTAGTTTATTTTTATTTAGCAGCTTTGCATCGTTTCAATTTAATCCCAATCACTGTTTCCAGGAGTCACCAAGTTCTTGAAAATTTCAAGATCTTGTCTTGATTTCAAGACACGAAGTAATTTTACAGTTCAAGACAAGACAAGAGATTTTAAGTAAATTAAGATTTCTTGTCAAGAAATCAAGAAATCTTGAAATACCTAGACGTAACAATAAAAACGCTAAATTAATTTATTTGAATATAATATACACATCTTTTAAATAGGTTTTGCTAGAATTATCATTTTTAGCATATCTTAAATAGAATTGTATTATCGAATTTGTTATTCGCTTCTTTTCCAAGACTCGGTGTTGTTCCTAGTATTGGATTTTTTAGATTATTCTCGGATCAATCAAAGTAACTAGTTTTAAATACTTCTTCGAATTTTTGTGCTGCCCCTGATTGTAGAAGTTTTCCCCATAAAGAAGAAACCGTTTTCACTGTATGTCGGGGACCCAAAATATGAACTCTACAGTATATCCAATTAGTTTTGTCATAGTTTTTCAGTATCCTGAGTTATTTATTTTTTGTTATAAACAAACACTTTTGTTATGCTTTTGAAAATATGGCACACTGGGTAATTTATAATTTTGGTTTTTGGTAATGGTCTACCACTATTTCGAAAAAAACGCCGAATTTCTTTCTCCTAGTACTGTCACTAGTGCTACTATCCTGGATTGGTGAATGCTGCTGCTTTTTCCTTTGCTGTCGCCAAGTATCGCAAGCAACTACGCTTTCAGTTTTGTCATTGTCACTTGCACTACCTTGGGAACCACCAGGTTCCGTGTTAGTAAGCAACTCAATAAGGATTTCGATGGGGAATCACTGCTTAACCAAGAAATTTCAAGATCTTGATTTCTTGAGTCAAGACAAGATATGAAGCGTCAAGAAAAGGTTAAGACAATATTTTTTCAAGTTTCTTAATTTTTTTCAAGACACGACAAGAAGTTGTCATCAAGACAAGATATCAATAGTTTTAGGAATTAGATTAGTTTACATTTGATAACGGACGGTGTCCTTCTGACCGAAACGTTGTGTTAATCAAGAAAAATTGGCGCCGGGAGGCACGTATAACCGCCCATACTAAAATATGTTAATAAAAAGTTGGTAGGCAGTTCTTTTAGTTTCAAAGCAAAGGAATTTTTCCAATTTTTTTTATCTCAAAAACTGCGACTTTGACTGATTTTGATGTTATTACAAATTTTGTTGCAAATATTATTCCTAATCTCAAATTGAAAACCGCGTTTCGCTAGCTGTTGTAATTTTGGAGTTACGATTTTTTAAAATTTTTAACCCCCTCCCATACCCCCTTACCAACCCCCCACCCCCACCAAAAACTAATGGCCAGATTCTCGGGTGCCACAGTATTTTTGTGTCAAATTTGGTTAAAATCGGTTTAATGGTTTTTGAGTTATCGTGTTACAGACGGACAGACAGAGAAACGGACAGACAGACAGTATTTAGGTCATTTAAAATCTCATTGTGAGTGAAATTAAAAAAACTTTTTTTTTACCGATCTTAATAGCCTACCATACCTATTGGTATGGTCGGCTAATAAATAAAGACAATGGAAGTCTGAATTTTTTTAGCTTCAATACTGAATCATTGTCTATCACGTTCAAAGTAACGCTATAGGTATAATGCATAGATTTAGGAAGAACAGATATCACATTATGCATTTTAACCCGATCAAACATTCGGAGGTTGACTGACTACGTACTGTAAAAACCAACTGAGATAGAGAAGGCGACATTGCCACATATCAAATTTGCACCTATCTACTTAGTTTGATTTCCAGAAAAGATGACTTTATAACCTTCACCGGATATCAATAAATCTCAATTTCTTAATTCAATTAATAGTTTATTTTTAAAGAAGCATGCGTAATAATATGTTATTAATCAGAGGATATATGCGTTACTATTAAAGGACATGTTTACTGTTTAATGTGTTGAAACGTCTAGAACTATTCGCAACGTCGCTGCTAGTCTTCCAGAATGAAATGAGCCGTCCATCCCATCACCCCTCGCGACGGCCCTTGGTCTGTTGTAACGTACTACGTTTAGCTTACGGTGTGTTTGGAGTCGGAATCAAGTCGAAAGTGAACTTTTCAGTGTTTTTCAGTAGTTTTTGTTTTTGTTTAACGTACTTTTGAATCTGCGAATTTTCAATATGGTACGACAGTGTCAAGTGTGTGGAAAAATAAGCTCAAATTACCCGAATTTGTCTTTTCACGGGTAGGTATTGTTTTGACGTTTTATGTTTCCGCCGTAATTGTACATAGGCGTCCCACAAGGGAGCCTCTCACAATTAAAATAATTTCTAATTATATTTGTTGAATTTTGATCTATTAAAACAAGAACGTAGTAGCCGGTAATTGAATTATAATTCG